GCTTCAGGTGAATGTATCCTTTATCTCTTAAAGATAAACTTCATCAGACCTTATAGACTGGTGCTACAGAATCACAAAGAAAGAATTTTATCAAATAACAGAAACCTTATTGCTTGAAGACTTCAAACAGCAGCACCAACTAAAATGGATAGCATATGTAACTAGAAGGCAAAATCATCATATAATCAAGATGGTGACATTCCACACAACCTTAAACAAATGGTTAGAAAGGAAACTACCATCAATACTAGAAATAGCAACAAGAGTGGACTTGAGAAACCCATTTTCCTAAAAAGTGTTTTAAGAGAAAGATTTTATAAATTTCAAGCAGCAGTAACGCTGTTTGCTCAACGAATGCCAAATGTTTCCTATATGGAAACAATTAATTTTTAGTACAACCATTACCATAGATAGATACAGATCTATAACTATTTGAATATTTTTATATGTTTATCTTAACTGTCATAATATCTCTAAAAATATCTGTATAGGAGTTTTTTCATAAATATGTATTTTACTTTGTTGATGTATCTCAATAATTTCATTTTTAATGTTGCTTTTTGAATAAACTTGTGTACGTTTTATGTTCATAAATATTTATACCTTCATGATATGCCCAGATAAATATTAATGCAATTTTATTCAGCTTATTGATTTTCTAATTTAAACAGTGAATAAAAACCTTTTTGTAATACTAATGTGTCTATTTTAAAATGTTTATTTATATAAACTTAAATGGTGGTGGGAAAGATTTTTTCACCTGGTTTCATATAGAAAAATGAATTTTCTTTCTTAAAATTAAAAAGTAGAACATACTTTAGTATAACAAGAGTATGCAGAAAAACACTGGAACTGAAAATATGATCAAATGACTATAAGTTTTAATTTTTTTTGTCTGGTAAGGCTATTAAAGGCTATTTAAAGTACTGAGCATATTTTAGAAGCAATTAAAGTAATTACTTGGGTATATTTTAAAAGAAGGAAAATTTTCAGTTTTTTTTTTTCATTGTTCTTTTTTTTTCCCCAGTGAATTATCCATTTATTAAATGATCATGTTTTTCGTTTCTTCCTTCTCTTTCTTTCTAATTCAATATTTCAATATTGTCTTCTGTTATTCTTTTCATTGCATCTTCTTATTCTTTCTAATTTCTTTCTCTCTATTTCTTTAATTTTCTCCAAACAATTTCATTCCTTGGTTCATTTTTTAACTACTATCCTTTTCCTTTTAATTATCTCCTTCCTGGTCTTTTGAACAGGAGCAGAGGTCTATCCCTTGTTTCCTGTTTAGGATTGAATTTCCAGTTCCTTCTAAACTCGTTGCTTTGTCTTTCACTGCCAGTAGCCCCTTGTGTCTTAGTGGTATTATTTCCTTGCTTGGTGTGAAATGATTTAAGAAAAAAAATTTTGCTTCATTCATTTTTCATTGTTACTCTTTCTTTTTCTCTTTCAATTGCTTATTCTTCATTCCTTCTTTTAAAACATTTCTCTGCTTTCTTGATTTTCTTCAACTTATTTCTCTCTTTTCTTTCCTACTTCCTTCCAATTTCACTTCTTTTTTTTCTTGCAATTTTTTTCCTTCATTTTCCAATTTCTTCTTGATTCCTTCCTTCTAAAAAGTTTCTCTTTCTTTCTGATATTCTTCAGCTTCTTTCTTTTTCTTTCCTTTTTTGACTTGTTTAACTTTATTCCACTGACTTCATTTTTCACATTTTTCCTTTTTTGCTCTTGGTTTCCTTCTTTCTTCCAATTTCTTCTTCTCCATTAATCCCATCACATTTTTCTTTACACATTTCTTCTTCTTCATTCATTCCTTTCATAATCTTTTTTCTTCTTTCTTATCTTCCAGTTTTTTTACACCATTCATTCACCATTTTTCTTTCTTTTTCTATTCTTTCTTTTCTTCCAATTTTGTCTTTTCCATTTATTCATTCACATTTTTCCTTCTTGCCCTTTTATTTGTTTTCTCTTCATTTATTCCCTTGAATATTTTGTTGCTCCTTTTTTCTTTCTTCTTTTTTCAATTTCTTCGTCAATCTATTTCTCTTATTGCTTTTCTCCAGCATTTTTTGCTCTTTTCTTTCTCTTTTTTTCATTCCACTACTTTCTAGCTCTACATTTTCACTTTTCTTGCTCTTTCTTTTCCTTCTTTTCTTCCATTTTCTTCTCTATTCCTCCATATCATTTGTTTTTTCCTATTCGTCTTCTTTATTCATTCCATCTCATTTTTCCTTTTTTGCTCTATCTTTTCTTTTTCTTCTTCTCCATTCCTTCACATAGTTTTCCTTTATTTTCCTTTCCTTCTTCTTCATTGTTTCCATCTCATTTTTCCTTTCTTTTCTTCCCCCATTCCTTCACATTGTTCCCTTTTCTTTTCCTTCCAATTTCTCCTTATCCATTTATTCCATCTTGTTTTTCTTTTCTTACTCTTTCCTTTCCCTTCTTTTCTTTCAATCCTCCTTTGATCATCATTTTTCTGTCTTGTCTCCATTCTTTCATTTAATAAAATTCCATATCAACTGGTTAATGATCATCTCATGACATAAGCTCTGCAATAACTTTTCCTCTCTAACTTTCTACAATGGCTTCCCTGAAAGAAAATTAAAATATCTGTTCACATTACAGATGACTGACCATTCCACAAATTCTCTTTTACATACATATTACCCTATTATCTTCTCAACTGAACTCATGGCATTCTGTTCTCTGCATAAAACTAACAAAGTAAAATTGAAAACAGACATTAACTTTCCTAAACTTCTACTTGCATGTATAGCCCTATTGTTAGAGTATATGTTATATCGGACAGTGTAAAAGACACACTCGCATATCAGATGCACTCTACTTTCAGCAGGTTACATTCAGGGTATACTCAGGAAAATGTTTTTAGTGCTTTTTAAGCTAGTAATATTTAAAGCAAGCAATCAGTACATTAGAAAATATTACAAAAGAATTTTAATAATAGCAGAAAACATTGCTGTATATAAAAAGCAGGCAAGATCTGCCCACTCCTCACTTTCCTGTCTCAATAGAATCTAAAAGTGTTTCTGCATACTTGTGGGTGACCAATTATTTTCCACCCAGCAACCCCTCACTCACAGACAGGATGTGGCAAGTCTCTCACTGTTCTATCACTGCTTCCATGGAAATTGCTCAGAATAACTGCATTCCTTGATTCTAACAGTTCTTCATGGCAAATCACACTCATTCCCTCTGAATTGCATTGGTGAGAAGTTAGTTCCACTCACGCAACTTCTTCCCACGAACCACTGCTCTGTCAACTGGCTCCCAAGTGGATGTTTCCCCAATCACTAATCCATTAAAGTCTAGGGTTAACTGTTATCTTCCCTGCCTATCCACATAAACTGTGCCTCTTACTCTGTAACCCTTTACTTTGAGTTTCCCATGGGCCTTGTACAGGATGAACCTCTGTTATGGAGTGGTTTCGCAGTGGAGGCTTGTATTTGTACTAAGTCGGTCCTAAAATAGGTTCGACGTACAAAACGTTAGGAACTTGATATAATAGGTAATGATGCAGAGAAATCTAGTTGTGGTCGCTGATACTTTAAGTATCTGACTAACGGTCGTCCGGCATCGACTGACTGACCAACCCACTGAGCGACTCCTCGTTACTCTTACTACTCCTACTTATTATAGGGGGGAGAGTCTATTAACTATAGAATAGGTGTGTTCCACTATAACAACCTCACTGTCAAAAAAAGAAAAAAAGTACAACTGAAAATAGAACAAAAAATCAAATTATAAACAAACCTAACACTTTACTAGTCTTTGTTCTGAGGCTGTTTCATATGATAGACGTATATCTTAATCTCCTAGAGTAGTGTTTTACCATTACCAATATTTCCTTTCAGTTACACCCGTTTTTTGAAGTTTCCAAATGTTCAATGACATGAAAATGTTGAAACATATTTAAGTCAGCTGGTATTGACAACATCATCGGTACTTTGTTATGATAATTCTATTTCCAGTACGTGTACTACTAATACTAATAATATTATAGACCAGCCATAGATCTCATCCTTTGTGATCTTCATTGATTAGTAGTGCTAACATGCACATGTTTTATCTTAAGTAAATATCTTCTTCGGTATGGCAGATTCACTTGCCAGTTATTGAACTTAACCAGCTAGGCATGTCTCCTAGGGACTGACGCACAGTACATCTCTGTTGCTGAGTGGTAATAGTGTGGAAGCATCCTGGTTAGTTGTCAAGAGTGTTTTTAATTAAAATTTTAAGGATGAGGTAGCTAAAGTGCCTTGTTAGTCACATCTTGATACTCACAAATGCCCTCAATCGCAGACCATCAAAGTGAAATAGGCTACCTGACTGGAAGGTATTCCTAAATGTGCCACATCTACAAATTTTATGTGTTGCTTTTATCATGAACTGTCATTTGGCTGTGATGCATGTGCCTTGTATACGCCTAACAAAGTGGTTGTGATGATGAGTATATTACTATATTTTTCATTAATATCACTTTTTGATGTACTGAGTTCTCCCACAATAATTATAACAAGTTTTAGCCGGTGAAAATTTCATGGTTTTCCTATTGGAATTTCTGATGATGTTAATGATGGATTAAGTTCATGGCAACTTCAACAACAATAAAATATATCCATAGAAATTCACCTATCATATTGTTAATTAATTGCACTTAACAAATTTAAGAAAATGTTGCAATAAAATTCATAAATATAAATGCTGGTTGTTATTTTAAGAAGTGGGTACAAATGAAAAATTTGAAATTGACAGCTTTTTCCATTTCACTGAAACAGCCATTAAACACTTTTATTTTTCCTTCTTTCTTTCTTTCTTTCTTTCTTTTCACTGAAACCAGGTAGTTTTTCCTCTCTCTTTCCATGCGATCAAAATGGATCAGCCCATGATTTATGAGGTATTGGCAGGACATAGCAGTCATGCAGATTAACAAAGGGAGGAAAAACACTATTATAATAGGATAATAACAAAAATAATAATGTTGTTTGAATAAATAATATTATTAATCTACAGCCACTTTTCCACTTGCAAGCCTATCATTACTCTAACACTATTTCCATGGCAAATGTTCAGATGAGACCACCATTCTTTAATTTCACTTGTTCAGAGCTTTAAAGCTAGGACTTTCTAGGCTATGACCATAGTATATAATCCTCTATATTTCATTTGTAAGGAGGAAGTTCTGCTTAATCAGATTTTTCTTGAGAACTGATAATTTGTGGAACAAACTCCCATATAGATTCTTCTATGAACATTACAATGTTAACTTATCCACTTCCTTCTACCTCATCTTATGCTCATATCATGCACTTCATTCAGTAACCATCTACCATAAATGGTTCTTGATCCTTGTATTGGGTGTACTTAAGTATAACAAATTGGAGTCAGGTTAGGCAAGTGTGATCACCTGAGGTAAAAAGTTTAACCTACAATAGTGAGTGTTGAGCAAAAGATGTTTTCCAAAAGCTAAGCAAAGTATTAAGAAACAGAAAAATTTCATTAGAAACAAAGAAAAATGTACTGAATTATTATGTAATATCAATCCTCCTCTAAGGCAGTGAATGCTGGACAACCTCCTGACAGATGAAGAAAAGATTTAACCCTTTGAGCCCTGACTACTGCTTTACTGGTGATAGAGAAAAATGACTTAATGCCCAGCCACCAGTTCAACAGTGGGTAAACACTTGTAATTGTTTTTGTATCTACCGTGAAGCATTGCATGCCAATTATTTGCTAATTTTGACTCGGGAGCTCAGATGGAAGGTTTAAAATTGCTCAGGAATGCAGAGCTTAAAGTGTTAAAGCAGCAGAAATCTGATTCTATAGAAGGATACTGAGAATACCATGGGCTGAACATGTGAGCAATGATAAAGTTCTAGAGAAAATGGAGACAAAAATTAAACTTATACTTAACATCAGGAAGAGATAGTTGAAATTTCTAGTGTGCATAATGAGGAAAAAGGGTTTAAAAATGTGACACTTACAAGACATATTAAAGACTATAAGGACAGAGGAAAACCATGCATTAAATGGATGGTGGAAGAAGATTTAGGAGAAATAACACAAAGATAAAATTTATTAAGAGCTACAAATGACAGGAAACTGTGGAGAGCCATGATTACCAATATCCTGAAGGCACATGGCACATACAACAAGAAAACGTCTGTGCTGAGAGTCAAATTAACTTTCAGAAGGTCTCAAGACAAATATTTAAGTAAATGCTCTGTTTATAATAAACAGTATTAAACAACATTTACTGACCTGAATGTCCGAGAAATTTTCATAGAAAATATGAGTCCTCTGACAGGAATCGAACCTGTATCCTATACGGAATCGTCATATAGCCTGATGTGCCTTTACTGATTGGGCCACAGAGGAGCGTTCGGTTAGCAAGGTTGATTTTACTGTATTTAAACACAATTCTCCATGATTTTATCTTATACATTCATATCTGCTCAATGCATATCCAAATGTAAACAAATGATGTCACACATTATGAAATGGACAAAGTCTGACAATTATTTTTTAAGACATTTTTTATGTTCATATGTTCTTTTTATAGATACAAATATTTAAGTAAATGCTCTGTTTATAATAAACAGTATTAACAACATTTACCAGCCTGAATGTCCAAGAAATTTTCATGGAAAAAGAGCATTTACTTAAATATTTGTATCTATAAAAAGAACATATGAACATAAAAAATGTCTTAAAAAATAATTGTCAGACTTTGTCCATTTCATAATGTGTGATATAAAATTATATAACAACTGTTGCAATTTAATAAAAACATGATCTTTTTGAATGGCATTAAAACTAAACACTCCTAACTTCTCTCGGAATTTCCGATATGGGAAGTTATCATTATTTACATGTGGATTATTGTCCTTATTCATGTTGTCATTATTATAACATTTCAGTCATTGTGCCCTCTAGCCTCCATCAGATGTTTATCGATCTGAGTAGCCTTCAGGGAATTGTGAACTGAACCCTTCATTTAATCTATAGGGGTAGAGTGTCTAGATTAGCATAACATATGCACTGATTCTTAGCATATATAAATAAACACTCCTAATACTACCCTAATGACAAAAACAAAATAAACATTACAGCTAACACAATATTTAAGAAGCATAGTTTAGTTTGGTACAAGTATTGAGCACTCAGTGTTGGTTGACTTACAACATTATAGCAATGATACGTGAGACGAGCTTGATAACAATTATCTCGTGAAAAAATGAAGAGAGTTAGTGATTATAGGATAGTGATTTTCACAAGTTCTCAACTCCCGCCCAACACCATGAGAATTTTTTTTCAGAATATCTGGCAAAAGGAGAAAGAGCAGAGGAATGAAGCTAAACCATTTGTAAAGGCATTAGTATAACGTGAATATAAGTAGCTTTGTCTGAAATTCAAATCTAGTTTGTCATCTTTGCTTTCCATGTTGTCTATTATGATAAATATCATGACACATCACGCCTACAC